ACAGCACATAACAACAACAACAACAACAATGCCTAGGATATCAATCTTTATGCATTCCATTTCATTTTTGACAACTTCCAATTTTCCGAGATTCATACTTCGTACATTCCATGTTCCGATTATTAATGAATCTTTGCAGCTGTTTCTCCTCAATTTGAGTGGTGCCACGTCAGCAAATGGAGGTCTTGAAAGCTTTACCTTATCCATATGAGTAAGGCTACTTTTACTCTGATAATGCAGTTCTTGCCCAGTCCTATTTTGAGAGCTTTCTAACCTAAGTGGCTCATCTTACTCCTCTGTATTGGACAATGTTTCTGGACTATTCAGTAATGTAACAGACAGTGTTGCTCTGCTATTCATAAGGTTTTCCCTGGCTGAGAAGTGGATGGCCTCTTCCTTCTTCCTAGTCTGTCTCATTCTGTAAGCTGGGCTGATACCTGTGCACCATGTGCACCCCACTGGGTTTGAAATACCAGTGGCACAGCCTCAAGACTCACAGCAACACGTCATGACAGTAGGACAAACCAACAGACAAGTTTGTCTCCCTTACCTGTTGGAAACCTCTCCTTTCTCCCACCTTCCTGCCTTACTATTTGTGGGGCATGGCCTGGGTTTCCTCTCCTCACCTGGATCCCTGCGGCTGACTGCTTGCCCTGTCTGGGTCCCCTAGCCTTTATGCTATCCTTTCTCCTGCCTTCCTGCCATGCCACTCGTGGCAGAGCGAGGAAATCTATGAGCCTTGTTAATACAGGTGAGTTTCAGGTTCAGTTTGATCCAGAAGTCCTTGATATCAGCAGGATTCTGGTTCTATTTCTCTGTAGCTCTCCCTGCTTTGCCCTCCTCTGAGTATCTGAGCTCAGGCCAATTCCCCTCACATCTAAGGCCTCACATCCACATGTCATATTGTCCAGTCAAGAGAGGAACCTGGGGCCCAACGTTCCCAGCCAAAGTCCTGTGAGCCATGCTGATTAGATGGGTTTGGGTCACAAGTTCACCACTATCACACTACTATAGAGATGGGACTTTGATTGGCTTAAGTCAATCAGCTGACCCCTGGAGCTGCCACCCTAATCCTTTGCCAATGTGTGGAGGCAGGGCAGTTTTTATAAGGAAAATGTATTGTCAGGAAGGAGAAAAGGAGACTGGACAGGTAGAAAGCAAATGTGGCTTCCACTACACTCCTGTCCACCCAACAGACTCAACTCCATCCCTTCCCCAGGAGTCTTGGGTGAAGAGGCTCCTGGGAGTCCCCTGACCACTTCCCCCATTCTTCCACTAGAGGAGTGGAGGTCCAGGGGACCTTACTCTGAGGAGAAAGCAGGTCAAACAGGGCCAGCTTGTCCACAATAAGCACAAACTCCAGAGCAGGCAAGGTCTCTGAGGTCATATAATGGAATTCGGGGTGTTAACATAGGAGCACTCAGGGCTGGTAGAGGGTCAATGAAAAAGGGGAAGACCTTCAACAAGATGGGTTGACAGAGTGGCTGCAACAATGGGCTCGAGTATAGCAA